CTGGTATTTACCATAAGTGTAGATAGACACAATGGTATATTTACCATACACATAGTTATTTACTAGGTAAAGTTTAACTCAAGCTAAAAACCCATGGCCTGGATAGCCATTTAATTGTGTAATAGATGAATGTATTTTGTAAATTCTAGAAGTTTTACTTTTAGAGGAAAATAGGAGTTGTGCCTCCCTGTAATCCAACTGTGACAACAAACACTATGACAAAATTGAAACTCGTATGCATGGAGTTTCACTTCACTAGACTGAAAGACCAAATAAACTGTAACAGTGTACAGTTGTACTTACATGTACTTGATATGAAAGTTTCTAAGGTTATAATGTGTTTATTTGTTCTACATGTACTAACTGCGTAATGAAATCTGTAATTATCCCACCCTTTGACCAATCTGTTAACTCAAGTACAGGAGGCTTTCAAGATTTGTAAGCACAACTTTAATCATGAAATTTTCAACCTGTCATGTGTTCAATGTTCATCAACTGTTTGACCTCCTAATGACCTTGGTATTTGCAGAAGTGAAGGAGAGAATTAATGACTTAGATCAGGTGACTTAGGCATATTGTTAAGTGAGAAAATCTGTCCTTCCTGGCGAACTATGTAACTGTGGAAACCGAAGAACTTAGTCATTTCCTTCCATAATGCATAATCAGAAAAGCTACATTTAAACCGTGGAGTCTGGAGTAGGCAAACCAATCTAGCCTTAATCTCACAGTAATGTAGGTTTTGATAAGGGTTGGCTGTTGTTGATCCATTATTGCCGGATTGAGTGCCTAGCTGTTAACAGTTATTCTGTGCATGGACTGAACTTATTATCGCGGTTATTCTGCTGTAGTGATAAGATTCATCTTATGTAGACATGACATTGAACTAAACTGACAAGATGGAAAACTCTGCACTTTTGATTACCATTCAAATGGTTGTACATTATATCCCGTGATTATTTTTATCCTTATTTTTTTGTTTTGTAAAGATCAGTGACAAAACAAGAATTGCTAGCAAATATTCAAGAGTGCATTGCATTTAGTAAAACTTATTATCATCATGAGTAAGCATTCATATTGTACATGTAGCTGATGAATTGTTAGAATGGATTCCAACATAACATTTACAATCAATTTAATTTGTACTATGCTTTTAAATTAATGATTATGGTGGGTCAAGGTAGTAAGGTGGGGATGCATTGTTATGGTATCACTGTCATCGTAGTTACTTTAACATTTGTTTTGGTCATTGTAATAATTCTTACAGCATTGAATTTAATACCATTAGTATGAAAAAATCAATTTGTTTTGTCTTGCATATAGAAGTAACGAGAATATAGAATAATATATATAAATGCATAAGAGTAATTTAATTTATCCAATGTTCTTTTTTTGAATGAACAGTATCTCCTCGCTCTGAGTATTTTAGAGTTATAAAGAGTAGATTAAAAACTCAGGTGGTGGTGGGGGATTTGGCAGAATTGAAAGAAACATTTGTATAGAAAAAGAATTATGGAAAAAAATCTTGTAGGGATCAAGAAAAAGACGGGGAAAAAATATTACAGTGATTTTATACTAAACAAAATTAAATGAAGGAAACAAATCGTCCCTTCCAGAGTTTCTAATGGTCTACCCCTTACCAAACAAATTCACCCAAAATTGACATTATGCATATAATGTGCAGTTTGTTTTACTACTATAGCTTGTATACTTCATAAATTAAAATGTAACTGTTAGTCTAGACCCAATCTATGAAGGGACACACAAATCACTGATTGCAGTCTTACCTAAAGCCTCAGTGTGTGGGTGTAACTAGCTGAGCAATTGACTTGCAACATTAACAGGTCATGCAACCACTTGATTATAAAGTCTAATCTTCAACTTTTCTAGAAAATTTTGTGTACATGTATACTACTGACCTCTCGGGCTAGATTGCATGGAACATGAGGTTAATTGAATCTGCCGGTTTGTAAAGCATGATTGTTTGAATTGGCTGAGAGAAAGCAAAATCGTGCCATGGAGCCACCCCTCGGAGAACATAAAAACTAACTAGCCCTTGAAGGTATTTTTTTAAAAATCAACCATTAAACATTTACAAAACGTGTTATAGATCCAGACACTTAGAACCTGATCAGGTAGTCTCGTTGTGATAAAACTTATATATGTGCATGTGAGTATGCTCTACGACCACTTTACTATCGGTAATAACTAAAATGCATATATATTTGACAACAGCATACATGTACAGTTATGTTTTATTGTTGTGTGCTACCCACAGTTGACATTCACTGTATGAAAACTGTGGATGTGACCGGGATTGTCAAATTCACATTCAGAATGCTCGCTCAGTGTCTGCTTTAACAAAGACACAATACAGTTGGAAGACAGATCACTGATAAGCCCTTATTTGAGGATTACATACTGGTATATCATAGTGTCATGTTGTTTGCAAATCCTCTTAAGATCTCCTGCATAAATGGGGCTCTTTGTACTAGAGTTATAACATGTGACTGTTATTTTGTGAATTCTGAATTGAATTCTTTGTGTTTCACCTGACAGGAGAGTATTCTGGTTCTTATACTTGATATGAGCAAGCTACAACGTGGCGTCCGTCAGTCGCACTGTAGACTAATTGCCTTGCTCCAATCACTGTTACATCATTATGCGTTTTAATTTCAAGTTTTTTACTGAATATTCTGTGCCTCGTCTTTTCAAACTCTGTGTTTATTTTGTGTCTCAGATTCCACACCAGTAAGATAATACAAAAAATATAAATATATCTCCTCTGTCTTTGGAATTTTCATGCAGCATCAAGCTGCACTGGTCCATTTCATGCAATTGGAAAACAAAACAAATTTAATGATGTTTTTTTATTTCCTTAGGTCATATTTTCTTGACCTTGGCGATGATTGGACTATTTATATTAGCTGATTAAACTGAATAAATTACGGTTATGTAACTCAAGAATATCTATGTCACTTCATTCCTATTTCACTCTCTGAACATTATTATGATAATTCTTAGTGTAAAAGAAAGATTATTCCATTTTGTATATCTGGTTATTGGGCATTCTAATTGTGATTTTTACAGGGTCGATTAAAGTTTTTTCTCCCCTATTTTTTCCCAACAATTTTAATGGGGACTTAAAGCAAATGAGAAAATTACATGTATGCTTCAAAATCAACAAAGAAATATAGAAAAATAATAACATATATGCAAAATGTTTCACCAAGTGCAAGCAGTATAACAGTATTAACCCAATTTGCCAACTCCCATGTCAAAAAGTGGAATTGTTCAGAAATTCTTGACTATAAAAGACCATAGCATCTTTTTACCACTGCATACCTGGTAAGTTCTGTCATCTGATTCTTGTGCCTCAGGCAA